CCGAGCCGATGCATATGCGCTCGGCTCGGCTGAGCCGCTCGGCCATGATCGGGAGCTGTACGGGTTATTCTGAATAGCCCGTACAGCAGACTCTCGGTTCGAATTAACCGATGGACTCCTGTAACCGAAGCTAGCCAAAGGATTGGCCGAAGCTACGGCTAGATCCTTCGGCAGCTTCGTGAATAGACCCCAAAGTGTGCCTTGCTGTGAGAATGTGAATTTACCTTCCTGCTGAGATCTAGGAATGCACATATGTTTGTGTTCTGAGTTTTCATACCCACTGTCATTTGCAGAGATGAGTCATACAGGTATTGTCAAGTTAACTGACACAGAGCAACACTGGTAAACCAGGTCTGGGTGTCTAAGCTTCAATAATCTCTGGTCACAAGAAGGTTGGGTGGCAGCATTCATTGTACATTATGCACATTTTTCTGTATATTTTTCTTCTACAGATAGTGAAAACTGCCAGATGTGTCCTGAAGATCAATGGCCTAATGAGGCTAGAAATATTTGTGTTGCCAAATGTTATGAGTATTTGTCATATGGGGAGGACATTGTGGTTGTATTGTTTTCTGCATCTTCAGTCATATTTTCTGCTACATCTCTCTGTATGCTTGGAATATTTTTTTGGTTTCGGAGCACTCCTATAGTCAGAGCCAATAACAGGAACCTCAGCTTCATTCTGCTCTTTTCTCTCATGCTGAGTTTCCTTTCTGTGTTCCTGTTCCTTGGACATCCGGTGGATATAACTTGTATGCTGCAACAAGTCTTCTTTGGAATTGTCTTTACAGTCTCTCTGTCTTCTATCCTAGCCAAAACCACCATGGTTGTTATTGCTTTTAAAGCCACCAGACCTGGAAGCTCCTGCAAGAAATGGGTGGGAGTCAAACTTCCCAATACAGTCCTGTTGTTCTGCACATTAATTCAGGTTATGATTGGTGTTTTCTGGTTGTCCATCTCTCCACCATTTCAAGAGTATGACATGCACACCTCTCCTGGGAAGATCATCATTCAGTGTAATGAAGGGTCAGTTATCGGGTTCTACTCTGTGTTGGGTTATATGGGGCTTCTGGCAGCTGTGAGTTTTGTTCTGGCTTTCATGGTGAGGACATTACCGGACAGTTTTAATGAGGCCAAGTACATCACCTTCAGCATGCTGGTATTCTGCAGTGTCTGGATTGCCATGATCCCGGCCTATCTGAGTACCAGAGGAAAGTATACAGTAGCTGTGGAGATATTCGCCATACTGACCTCCAGTGCTGGAATATTAGCCTGTATATTTTTTCCAAAAATCTATATTATACTTTTTAAACCTGAGCTGTACACAAGAAAATCCATGCTGGGAGGAAGAATGATGTAAAATATTCTCATCTTAATACATTTACTCATAAAATAACACACAATTATAGTATTGTTGTTCTTAGTGACTGAACCTTTTTTGTCAATACATTAGCCTATAATTTGAAGTGAATTAATTAATAAATGATAAATCCTTTTAACGCAAAGTGAACTTATCCTTCTTGCCTCTTTCACTTCATATAACCTAACCTCTCCTGTTCCTTTTATGCATATCTACATCAATCCAATCGCTGTGGATCTACTGTTCATTTACAGTCAGCGGGGCTAGCCTGCATTTGTCCTGGCAATGCCTGCATATTAGTGCCGCACAGCCATCTGTGAATTTTGTCGAGGGGCTGTGTCCTAAGGCTGCAGACCATCTTATAAAAGTCTATAGGGCTGTATTGTGCTGGTATGTCTGGGACAGTGAAGACCTGCAGTGCAAAATGTAAAAATAAAGCAAATCCCCGGCCACTGGATTGAGGTAAGTATGCATTTTTAGAAGGGGAGGTTGTATTAGGATAGGTATGGGGAAGGGGCAAAAATTATAAATGCAATCTGATTTAAAGTGCATATTTTCTTTAACTCCTTCAGGATGCCCACTGTAAAAAGCATCCTGTCCTGAAGCAGTTATGCCAAGAGCATGGCTGCTGCTGCCGGATCGCTAGTACATTGCAGCAGAATGTGTGTGTCCCTCCACGACTGCCACCGGCTACCCCGGGCTCTGCTGTCCCCTGTGCAGGCTCGGGACTGGCACAATGGGTTTCCCCTCACTGTTTGAAGGGAGTTCAGCAAGCTCCTAGCCGCTGATCTCTCCTCTGATCACTGGACCTGGAGGTGATGTGTATTGCATCACACCTGTCACTGTTTACATTCTCTGGCTTCTGCAGCAAGCAGGAGAAGCTGGTGGAGCAGATTGCTGCTTCATCAGCCTCTTTGGGGTCCCTAGTTGACATTAGGGGTCAAAATGCAAAAAAAGGTTTTAAAGTTTCCCATCCCACATGCACGCACATACAAGTGCAAACATGCGTTGACCGCGTCTACATGCAAAAACAAAAACATTCATGTGACATATTGCCACAAACGTGTGAGAGCAATATTTCTAGGGCATCAATGTTAACGGTAAACTGTTGATCAGTAAAAGCTTTTACATTGTTGCCTTTGGGAAATTTTGGGTATTGTAGTTTTTTGCAGTTTTAAAGGGTGAACGCAATTTTAAGGCTTGGCATGTTTGGTATCTATTTACCCAACATGACCCCATATTTTTTTTTAACCAAAAATGTTGGTATTATACTCTGTTTCTGTGCGCTTAATTTCATTTTAGGTAACTTTACCGTAAAATACTGGTTTGATAAACATGTGTGCAAATACCGTGCAACATAAAAAATTGCATCTAGCATATTTGTATTCTATGCGGCCTCTGCTTTTAGAAAATATATCATTATTTGGGGGATTAAGCTGTTTTCTAGCCAAAAATTCAGATTTTATCGTGTGTACAAATACTGTATAAAGAAATTGATCCAGACAGCAAGTGGTTAAAGGAAATCAGATTAAAAGAGATTCTGGCACAAAAACTTTGTGCAGTTATATGCTTCCTTTTCCATTGCATTTAAAGTTCAAGGAAATAAAATGAGTTATACTTTTAATCCAGGTTCTTGCTCCTTTGAGGATCTGCAGCTGAGTGATGCAAACATAAGGTACAGTTTTATTAATAGTTAAGGTACTTACTTTAACACCTAATTAAAGTGTCACTTTATTAGACCAAAATAGAGCAAATAAAAGATGCTCATTGTTAGGATTTATAACCTCTTTAAGACATTATTTTGTGTTACATTCCTGTTGCAAGTCCCCTCATCCTATTTATTTTACTGATTTAATCATTAAATCATTTTAAAAAAAAACATTGTGTTGCACACTGTATTTGAAATCCCTGCTGCTTGTACTTTAAAATATTCTATCTCCGTTCATACAGAGTCGCTTTCTACTAAATACAAGTTATTAAAGCATATTCAACTTTTTTATTGGGTCAGTAAAAAATGATAGTGTCTGAGATAACACCACCAGTTAAACTTTGCACTATTACTGGAAAGCCCCACCCATATAATATGGCAAATTACTAGTTTTGTTGCTCTTTTTGCTATTTCTTTGTATTTAAATAAAAAAAATCAGCTCTTGTTGTCATAAAAAACATTATAACCCAGAATCCAGACATGGATGCATGAAAGTATAGTTTGTTGTGTGGGAACAAGTAAGAGAGACTCTGGGTTATTGTCAGGATCCAGATCTGAACCCAAGGTCTCTGCTGTGCCTGGTGGTGGCTCTTTCTGGTGAGCCAAAGGTAACCCTGGATAGCTCCTTGCCTGATCCCTTGCTCAGTCATTAGTGATGCCCAGTTTTCTGCTGAACTCCTTGCTCCTCCCCTGAACTTCCTTTTAAGCTATGGTTCTGCACTTCCCTTTGCCAGATTATTTATTTTTGTCTAGAGATCCCATAGAAAAAGTAAAAAAGTTTGCAAAATATTATTGCGAAAAGAAAGCCTATCTAGACCCCTTCCAAAAAACAATGTATTCACGAAGCTGCCGAAGGATCTGGCCGTAGCTTCAGCCGATCCTTCGGCTAGCTTCGGCCCCAGGACCCCTTCGGTTCAGTAGAACCGAAGGGGTGCTGTACGGGCTATTCACAATAGCCCGTTGCGGACATGGTCCAACCTATGCAGGCAAGGCATGCTTGTATTTTTTATCTGGTGCTGGCCGTGTTATTCAGCCAGAACATACAAAAGAGGTGGTGGAGTGGATAACTAAGCCATCCTCATCCTCCTCATCCTCTGTCACCAAGGCTATTACTGGGTTTCAGTCAGGGGCGTAACTAGAAATCACAGGGCCCCATAGCAAAATTTTGTATGGGGCCCCTTGCAGAGCCCACCTGATATACCAAACAGCCCACCTGAGAGTGACCCTACAGAGCCCGCCATATACTCTCTATGGTGGGTTCTGCAGGGTCTCACGTGGGCTGCACACCTCTTATCTGTCAGCTATGTCCGCTTTGTGGTCGCCGGGCCCCGCCTCCTCTTCCGTCCCCGGGCCCCACCTCCTCTTCCATCATCGGCCCTGTCTCCTCTTCTATCGATGGGCCCTGCCTCCTCTTACATCACTGGCCCCTCCTGCTCTTAGGTCACTGAGCTGGGCCCCACCTCCTCCTTCACTGAAAACGCCGGGTCCAGCCTTTCTTGCAGCAGCTGCTGGCTGTCACAGCTCAGCGGCGGATGTGAGGACGAACGCGCTGCTGCACACATCACTGACAGGTTGTCAGTGATCTAACAGCGGCACCTTTTCACAGCCGCCAGTGAAAGCCAGCACCCTGATATGCCATAGCGACCCTGGCGGCCCGCACGGCATCAGAGGGATGCCCTGGCTGGGCCCCCCTGTGCCCAGGCCCCCCTGTGCCCGGGCCCAATGGCGGCCACAGCTGCCAAAGCGTCCTATTCTGCCTCCTTTGTTGTCCATCTTTGGGAGGGGTGCCAAAGATGGACAACAAACTGTCACTCATGTTCCACCAGCCACAGCTTACTACCACGTTGGCAGGAGTTGCCACAAGGACAGAGGGGATGATGATGATGATGATGATGATGATGAGGTCACTGACTCTACTTGGGTGCCTGATCGAAGAGAGGAGAAAAGTGAGGAGGAGGCAGGATGTCCTTCAACAGCAGCCATAAGAGCAGCCACCCCATTGCATCAGAAGACAGAGCTGCACAGGTGCAGGGTGCTGGTGTCTCCCAGCACACTTCCAGGAGCTCAGCTGTGTGGGAGTTTTTCAGAACATGTGCACCAGACGGCAGCATTGCTATTTGCAAACTGTGTCTCAAGCGGATCGAACGTGGCAAAAACATCAACTGCTTGAGTACCACGTGCTTGAAGAGACATCTGATCCACCTGCCACGCAGCCTGTTGGTCAAGAGCACCAAAAAACGGTCCACACTTCTCGCTCCTCATCTGTCATCTCTACCCCCACTATACATCATGCCATGTCAACAGCCTCCACTGAGAGGGATGATGGTATAGAAATGGGTGTCACAGATCCTTCCACCAAATCTGGCAGCAGCCCTCCAGATGTAGATATGACCAGTCAAATTTCACTGCCCCAGCAAAAAAAACAAAAAAAAAACTGTTCCAGCCATCCACATGCTCAGCATCTAAATGCCATCTTGGCCAAATTGCTAGCTTTCCAACTGCTGCCTTTCCATCTGGTGTACTCTTCCCCCTTCCTTGAGTTTGCAGAATGTGCTGTACCAGAGTGGCAACTTCCCAAATGCCATTTCTTTTCACGTAAGGCCTGTACCAGCATGTGGAAGGCAATGTTTTGGCCTCGTTGGAAAAGGCAGTCAGCAGCAAGGTCCACATTTTCGCTGACACATGGTCCAGCAAGCATAGTCAGGGACATTATATTTCCTTCACGGCACACTGGGTGACTCTGTTTGCAGCTGGGAAGGATCCAGAGGTTGTTAACACCATAGCAGCTTGAGCCAGAAATGGCTGTATGCGACAATGGCAGCAACCTTCTCTCTGCCCTATGCCAGGGAATGTTGACACATGCACCATGCTTGGCACACATCCTCAATTTGGTGGTGTAGCAGTTCTTCTGAGGCAGACCAGAAAAGTCTGTAGCCATTTCAGGCGCTCATTCCCAGCCAGTGTTCGCCTGGCTAAAATTCAATGTGAATTCCACCTGCCTACAATGCGTCTGATTTCTGACATGCCCACCAGGTGGATCACCACTTTGGCAATGCTGAAGCGGCTGCACAAGCAGCAGAGGGCCATCAAGGAGTACCTGTATGGCACAAGGAGAGGCTTAGTGGACCTTGGCTTTTTTCCCCATGTCAGTGGCTGCTGATAAAGGATGAATGCACTGTACTTTCACCATTTGAGGAGGCAACAAGGATGGTGAGCCATGACAATGCATGCATCAGTGACACTATCCCTTTTGTGTTCCTGCTGGAGCATACTCTGCGGGGAATTATGGATAGGGCACTTGAGGCAGAATAGCGGGAGGAAGAGGAGGACTTCCTTTCCTCTCAAAGTCCCCTTTATGCAGAAACCATTCCTGCAGGGCAGCAGATCACACAAGAGGAGGATTATATCAGCCGTGGGGGCATTGAAGCAGAGGATGACATACGGCAGTTTTCAAGGGATGGTTTTCTGTCGTTAGAAACCCAAGGAGTAGTACGTGGCTGGGCGGAGGTAGTGCACAATAGTGTCATTCTCAGTGACCCTGAAGACTCTGATTCTCATGTCTCCTCAAAAATACGGTGCATGGGCTCCCTTATCCTGCAAAGCCTGATAAAGGACCCCAGAATTTGTGGTATCAAGGAGAGGGATCATTACTGGTTGTCACCCCTTCTTGATCCACGTTACAAGCATAAAGTTGCAGAGCTCATCCTACCCTCACAGAGGGAGCAAAGGATGAAACAACTTGAGGATGTGTTGAAGAGAAACTTATGTAACACCTTTCCAGACACTGGTAGGTTACCATAGCATGAAAGAGGTGCTTCTGAGGCTTTGATTGGTCAAAGGAAAAACGGTGGAGAAGGGGGCCGCCTGCCTGATACCTTTAGAATTTTTTTCAGACCTCAGCACCCAGGGATGTTAACTTTAGGCACCCATCAGCAGTGTCTACATCATATGGTGCAGGATTACCTAGGGGCAAGATCAGACCTGGAGAGCTTTCCAACAGACAATCCACTGGCTTACTGGGTCTTGAGAATAGATCACTGGCCAGAACTTACCCAATATGCAATAGAGCTACTGGGCTGCCCTGCATCCAGATTGCTTGCCGAACAGACGTTCAGTGCTGCTGGAGGTTTTGTGACAGAAAAAAGAGTGCGCCTGTCCACAGACTCTGTTGACTGGCTGACATTTATCAAAATGAATCAGTCCTGGTTCAGCAGCAGCTATCAGTCCCCTGATGTGGATGTGACCAATTACATTTATTGCGGATCTGGGATCTGTGGAAGACTGCCTGTGCTGCCTAACTTTTTGGGTGATTATCCTATCTTTAAATGATGTTCTTGGTTTAGTGCACCACCAACAACCAAGGCCCAATTTTTGCGCACACACACGTGACAGGTGCATATAATTTGAATTTTTTGAGCAGGGTAAACCCTGCACTCGTCAAGAAAAACTCTGAAGGGTTACGGTGTGGAGGCACCGCCAACACTAAAGGCCCAATTTTAATGCCCCTGTTGTTTCTTTCATCCAACGTCTGCAAAAGAGACACCATAATTTATCCAAAAATGTATCTAATCTTCTTCTGAGTGTCCTAACATATGGCCTCTTCATACAGGCTGCATCCTCAAGCAGTTGTTTACAAGATTAAGGGAAAACCAATTACCGGGAATTGAAATGTAATTTTTTTCTTTGTAAGTGTCACTTTTTGCTTCAGCAGGTTCTATACATCATACAGATGCGCCACTTTACAGGCAGTTTAAAGGGACCCCCCAGACACGATATGTAAATACATTTTTCATTTTTATTGTTACCTTTTAAGTGACGCCAAATCCCAGCTGCTTTAACCCTTTCGCTGCCAAGGACGTATGGCATACGGACCTACAAAAGTGCTTCCAGCTGGCCAAAAAAAAAAAACATTTTCATTGATTCTTGTTCCCCAGGTCAGTACCCGGATCCCCATACCCTTTTTATGGCCAATAAATAGCATACAAGGCTTCAAAATGTTCTGCCTCCATAGACTTGCATTGAGTTTGAGTTCAAATTCAAACTTTTCCCATGTTCTAAAGTTCGAATTTGAACCGAACACGGGGGTGTTCAGTTCATCACTATTACTTATTGCTGACTTCATTAGTATGCTAAAGCCAGTTGTCATGCCATATAATAAAGATCTTCTTTTGGGAATAATCTAAAGTGGCAAACTGACTGTACAAAGGGTTAGAATGTGATGTTATTACAGGCAGCATTTTGTCATGTCAGAGCGGGAGATAACACTAGGAGATAACTCAGGAGATAACACTACATGAACATTTAACAAATTTACTTACCTAAACTTTCCAGACACCATGGAGGGACTTCAGTTACCATCCAATCACTTTTTTGAGAAAGTTATTATTGTTCACTTTGGACCAATCATAGGTTCCTCATGTAAGTGAATGAGAGTAACTATGATAAATAACACTAGGCCAGGGACAAAGAGGGAGGTTCATATTGGGGAGAAGAGAGAGAGTCCAGGAATTTCACACCACCAGGCTTGGTAATATATATCATGTCTGGTTGGCTCATTATTAAGCATCAACTTTTTGATTTATATCATATTTGATGAATGCATTGCCATTTGTGTGTTAAATATTCAGTATGTCTTCCATGGTGTAGGGACTTTGTTATTTGATATTTGCTGTGTTAGTCTTGGTTAGATGATAAAAGGGCAAAAAGGACTGTTAACTTCCAATGTTGTGTAAAATGTCCTTATCTATAATCAAGCTGTACATATATAATTCGGCCTACAATAAATGTTGTTTAAGCCTCCAGTCTGTGATGTGAATTTCTTAGTTGCCCGTCCCCTATTAAACAGGAAGAAGTGGGCATTGATTAATAATACAGATAATTTTTATTAATATTCATATTATTTGTTTTATTCACCCAATTTTCTTACAGAGATCTGAATTTCCTTTTCCCCCACACCTTTTAATATTGTAACTGAACTACAACACAGCTTTGATATGTTATGTTCTAGGTCAGCATATATTCGTATACATTAAAATTATAGAGTTATTGCTTCTGTATGTTCTCCTTTTCTACAGGGCTGCAGAATATGAGGATGCTATGCACAGCGTTAATATTAGCAATGTGCTGATAGAGAAAAGCTTGTATGCTTAGAGTCTGCATATAATAATAGTGCTGCAATTATATAAAGTTAGTTGCAGTTTATCTTGGGATGAAATCCTAGTAGATTCTATTTGTTTTATTTTACCTTTTTTCTTCTCTAAAAGTAACATTCTCTGACATTAATATCCAGTCTATCAGTAATAAATACGAGCATCTTGTGTTCTCTGTCACATCCTTTACCGGAGTCAGAACTCTCTGTATCTGTCAGCTATGAGGTGTCTGGAAGAAGAGATAGAATTAATTCACACCTATCAGAGATATTGGCACATTCCTTTCAATCTGACAAAACACTTGTTTCTGTTGGCTTTGTGTGTGACACCCTGCGAATGTGACACTCAGAACTCTGTTCACCGATGTGATCTCACAATGAAGAATTATACATTTGAGTACAAATATTCCCAAGAAGGAGACGTCATAATAGGAGGAATATTTGCTGTTCATTCTGGAGTGTCATGGTGGCACTATGTTGGAAGCCAATTCTTAGATTTCATGTGTTCAGCGTAGGTCAAATATAAAGTACGGATCTTAACATAATATCTATAAGGCTTGTTGTGTCATTGTAGAGGATTTACAGTACTCACACCATCTGTTTACCTTGACATGCAAGATTTCAATGAGCACACACACAGAGGTTAATTCATACCTAAACTCAAAAGCAAATGTTCATATATTTTATCTTAGCAGTCCTCAGATGTGGTGGCTGCATTCGGGTTTTTTAGGCTTTTTTCCTTTATGTTCACCTCGTGATCTGGTCAGTAATATTGTTATTTTTTTATTTCCTTCAACAGGCCAAACTGTCCAGCAAAAATAGCAGATACAGGATTGAGACAAACCATTGAACGCTGACATAGATGCTTATAATAGTCATCTTTTATTAATTTATGAAAACTCTGTATCCCAAAAGAAAGAAACAACATGTTGTAACTGTTAGCTGGAGTTTGGATTTATTTGTTAGTGAAGTCCATCTAAATCTGTTACTGTATTTATCACCAACCTCCCCACAGGGTGACAATGATTCTGTCCAAGGGTGGCCCCATTTCTTCTCTATAGAGTGCAGCCACCCTTAGGGCAGGAAGAGTGTTATTGACCGGATCACTGGGTGAAAATAAAGGGGAAAAAATGTACCCACCTCATATAAGGATGTATATTTAATAATATTTAATAATTTAATAATATGTTTGACATAATCTCTCGCTGTGTACAAGTTTATTAAGTTTTTTTAATCTGTGTTGTCAGCCTGCCTTTGAAGTTTCTCCAAGCCTATCTAAGCCCCAAAAACAAAAATTTAATATATTGCAGCTTACCAGTCCTTAGATGTGGTGGCTGCATTAGTTTTCTTTATTTAGTGTTTTTTCCTTTACTTTCACCTGGTTATCTGGCCAGTAAGTCTTTTATTTTTCAACTTCCTTTAACAGGCCAACCTGCCCAGCAAAAGTAGCAAATAGAGGTTTGAGACAAACCATTTAACATTGAGAGGGGTGCTTATAATAGTCAGCTTTTATTCATTGATGAAAAATCTTTTTTCCAAAAGGAAAAAAAAAAAACTTCTTGTAACTGTTAGTCGAAGTTTGTATTTAATTTGTTAGTCAAGTGCATCTAAATCTGATACTGCATTAAACGCCATCTTCTTCACAGGGTGACAATGTTGCAGTACAAGGGTGGCTCCATCACTCTTCTATAGAGTGCAGCCAACTTAAGACAAGAAGAGTGTTACTTACAGGATCACAAGGTGAAAACAAATGGAAACATTTAAGGACTTTTTGGGGAATTTTAGTATGTTTGACAGAATCTCTCACTGTATAGAAATATTTCAAGCAATTTTTCTGACTTTTCTGCAAAGTTTTTCATCTGCAGATCCAGTAGTTCTTGTTGCAGGCTCACAATGTTAAATTACATTAAAACCCTCATATATATATATATACTGCTAGCAATCAGTAGATATATGCACAAACCAAAAAATCTGAAAAATCTCGGGCAGCCACAAAGGATCACAGGGCGGGTGCATGCGTAGTTCAGATCTTAAGTCGGGAGGTGAGAAGAGACACAAGGTAAGTAAATGGAGGCAGCGTGCACCCGCACAGACTCTGTGGCACAGGAAGTGCCAGGAAGAGAGAGGAGTCAGCGCTGGATCAGAGACTGGCACCAGCACTGGAGGGAATCCTGCTGAAAACTACAGGAAAGAAGAAGATGATTGGATCAACATTTAAGGTAAGTCTTTACACTAGCATTGGGGGGGGGGTATCCTTTAATGTCTCTTTAAGTCTTCGGCTTGCAATATTGTCAGCCTGCCTTGCAAGTTCCTTCAAGCTCATCTAAACCCAAAAAATAAAAATGCCATACTGTTACAGTTTATCAGTCATTAAATTTCGCCTGCTTTGTTCTATTCAGCCTTTTTTCTATTTTTTTTTACCTCGTGAAAGAAGACATAACATTGTATTTGCTTTAGTGCAGATCAAAGGAAGTGTGAAGGATGTCTAGTGAGATCAGCAGGTATTTTCTGTATTTGCTAAAAATGTCAGTTGTACTGTTGTCTACCAATCTGATAAGCAGCCCAATGGCAAACTGAAGGAGTGCACATGGCAGGCTGACAGATCTGCTGAGAATTGTGGGGTAGTGGGGTAGTGGCTTAGTGTTGGCCCCCTAAACTGGAAGTTCCGTTACTGGCAGGATTTTCAGGAAAGAAAATTTGCAAAAAAAATTTATAATAAATATTTTCTTAACAAAACTGAATTTGGTGAGTCATGGTGTACAATATATTTTAGGTTTACATAGGGGTCTATTCACTAAGCTGCCATAGGCAGCCGAGTGAATGACCGACCTGAAGTGAAGTGAGCCGAACACTGTTCGGCTATTCACTTCAGGCTGGTACGGCTGATTTCAGCCGTACATCGGCTGAAGTCAGCCATACATTGGCTTGCTTCACATAGCTTCGGGTCGGCCGAACATGCTCAGCATGTTCAGAACATCGCTCCGTGTCAGAATAAAGAAAAAAAGAAACAGCAGTGTTGCTCTCCTTGGCGGCCGGGAGCAGGAGACTGAGCCGCTCGGCCAGGTTCGGGAGCTGTACGTGCTGAACCGAAGGGGTCCTGGGGCCGACGCTAGCCGAAGGATCGGCCGAAGCTACGGTAAGATCCTTCGGCAGCTTTGTGAATAGACCCCATAGACTTTAAGCATCTGGAAACTGAGAATTATTGACAAAAGAAACAAATTCAAAAACAATCATTCTGTATTGTGTGTGAAGTCCAGCATTGTAAGGCCAGACAATTGTTGCCCCCTCACTTTGTATCATGGTTACAGCGGTTTAACCAATAAGGAGGTGAACAGAAATACTGACAGAAAATAGAATTGTATTCCATAGTAGAGTATGAGAGGATGAGTCTCATACTCTACTGGCTGAACTTTTACTTTAAAGGGATGCAGTTTTGTTACATTGTGCTGCACATACACTATGGGGTCTATTCACTAAGCTGCCGTAGGCAGCCGAGTGAAAGACAGACCTGAAGTGAAGTTAGTATTACTAAAGTTACTATTCACTTAAGGCTGGTACGGCTGATTTCAGCCGTATATCGGCTGAAATCAGCCGTACATCGGGTGGCTTCACGTGGCTTCGGGTCGGCCGAACATGCTCAGCATGTTCGGCCGACCCGAAGTGCAGGAGGAGTTTTACTCAGCTGATCCAACATCTGGATCAGCTAAGCCGAAACTCCGGCAGGCTACTCGCTGCTGTTCGGTCTATTCTTATAGATACCGAACAGCAGTGAGTGAATAGCCGAATGCCGCTGAGCTTGGCCGGCGGTTCTGCTGCCATCAAAAAAAAAAAGAAAAAACAAACTCTCCTGGGCGCTCTGGGAGGCTCCCGGCCGCCAAGGAGAGAAACACTGCTTTTTCTTTTTTTTTCTTTATTCTGACACGGAGCCTTGTCAGAATAGAAAAAAAAATTGCCCATAGGAATGCATTGCTGGATTCCTATTGGCTATTTTAATTTGCAATAGACAATGGTAAACTGGCATTACACCCGCCCTCTGCTGCAGTTCTCCATCAGGTCCATCAGCAGAGGGTGGGTGCAATGTTAGTTTGCTATTGGCTATTGCAAATTGAAATAGCCAATAGGAATCTAGCAATGCATTCGTATGGGCAAAACATTTTTTTTCTATTCTGACAAGGCTCCGTGTCAGAATAAAGAAAAGAAAAAGCACCGTTTCCCTCCTGGGCGGCCGGGAGCAGGAGACTCCCGGAGCGCCCGGGAGAGTTTGCTGTCTGGAGATCAGTGTCCCTGGTTATCTGGTAAATGTAAAATAACAAAGATATACTGACCCAATCCTTGGTTCTACCTGGCTACTAGACCTGTACCTGCAGCCTCTCTTCCCCTTCCTCTGTGGTCCAAGGGCCTGTGATTCATGACATATAATACAATATACTGGATGTTAGGATGTTGAGGGACATTCCACCATTGGCGCTAAAGGGGAGAGAGGCTGTAAGAACTAGTCTAGAAACCTGGGGGAACAGAGGATATGGTGAGTAAATCTTAAGCCTTGCAGAGCGGGGGTATCCCACTGCAAGGGTCAAGTTTTATTCTGCACAGAGTTCTTCTGTAATGATTTAACAAGAATTATATTTAAAAAAAGGATAAACTGATTCTCTTGACTCCTGTCCCATGTTTTCCAATTTATCTTTATACCTTTTGAAATAAGCCTGTTGTTTTTAAAAGCAAAGGCTGAAATTTACAAAAACACAAGAGAATAAGTCAGAAGAGTGACTCCTCCTCTTCTCAGTCCTCTCTCTTCCATACAGATCAGTCTGAGGTTTCAAACAGATGGAGCCTAATGACAGACAGCTTCTACTGTGTGCTCTCTTTTGGAAATCCATAATGCCTTGTGACTACTGTGTTATAGGTGTGTTAACCTTGATCAATCTTGATGCAGATAGGGGGAATCTTGTCATCAATTGTTTCATAAGATCTGGAATTTAGATCTGGCCTGGCAAAACACATGTTTTTTTTTTTTTTAGAGTTAACCACAGAGAATACAGACATCTCCTGGCTTTTATCTTTGCTATTGATGAGATAAACAGCAGTCCAGATATTCTGCCCAATGTGACTCTGGGATATCATGTGTATGATTCTTGTGGAAATGTGAATAAAGCTACAAAGGATGTTCTGCAGATCTTATCTGGACATTCCAAGACAGTTCCAAATTATTCCTGTATGGTGCGGGGTACAGTGGCTGGTTTCATCGGAGACCTCAAATCAGATACCACTCTCCAAATGGCTCAGCTTTTACATCTATATGGTTACACACAGGTAAGATTTTCAGACATTGAGCAGGGAATGTTTCAAGATTGTAAAATCAAAGCTCACATCTCATTACTGGTAACATATTTAGAGGACTTTTGTTAATTACAGGATCTCTCAGACAACAACGCCAGATAAATCCATTAATACATTCTATAAAGTCACTGTCACTCAAATTATCTTTAAACATTTTATACCTGCATAGAAGTAAATTAATACCTGTGTTCCTTGTTGCCCATGCCGATAAAACCCAACTATAGTGATGAGTAAGCCACTGCTGAACTATTTTCCAAGACAGATACTACTCTGAATGTTGATCTCCTGGATCTCATCCCAGAGTTTGGTGGTTCCTCCTCCTGTGGTTCACTCATTACAGGATACAAAAGTGATATCTCGGTCACATGAAGAACCACTAAGCACCTAGGAGATCCGAGAGATTGACAGTCCTGGAAGAAAATCGGAGTGGTTTTAGTAGGGTGGGCAGCAGGGGGGTAAAATATATTTTCCTACTTTACAGGTATGGCATTTTTTAAAGGCAAGTGAGTGACTTCACTTAATACCTCAAAAGGTGGTAATTAAAATAAATGTTGTAGATTTTGTTGGTTAGTCTGTATGTACCTGCAGCAGCTGATAATGCAATTGTGATATAGCCAAAACACGTGCTCTTTTGAAGGGCAATGGTGTGACAATTATAGCTCAGAGCTCACCACTAGTCCGCCCCACAACCACACACTCATATTGACCCATCACTATGATAGGCTGCCTCACTGGCCAATAGTAATTTGTAGGATTTAGGAAGAGGCTGGGCAACATTCATAGCTAATAGAAAGTGTTGAAGCTTTACCTATCCAGACATCTCAACTCTCCCGGAAGCTCCGGGAGTCTCCCGCTATTAGATAGCGGCTCCCGGCCGCCCGGGAGATAAACATTTTCTCCCGGAAAGGTTTAATCTGCTCTATCAAGCAGATTAAACCTTTCCCTGCGATCGTTTTTTTTTTCTTTTCTGACATCGGGAGCCGCGGCCCGACCGTCAGTCAGAAAAGGAAAAAAAAGGCATACGATTGCATAGCTAGATTCCTATTGGCTATTGCACTTTGCAATAGCCAATAGCAAACTAGCTAATGCACCCGCCCACTGCTGCTGTCAATCAGCAGAGGGGGACCTGAATTTTTCTATCAGGTCCTCTTCTGCTGATTGAAAGCAGCAGTGGGCGGGTGCATTACCTAGTTTGCTATTGGCTATTGCAAAGTGCAATAGCCAATAGGAATCTAGCTATGCAATCGTATGCCTTTTCTTTTTTTATTATTCTGACGACTGCAACTGTCAGAATACTAAAAAAAAGAAAGCCTGCAGATACCAAAGAAGCTATTGCTTCCTGTGCTATCTGCCATCATTTCAGGGGGGTGCTCTCTCCAAGCCCCCCTAACCTCTACTCCGTGGATGGGGGGGGGCACCTCCCGGAAATGAGAGGGACACCTCCCTGAAAGTGCTTCTTTCAGGTTGGGATCCCTGCCTATCTGAAGAATCTATTACCGTATTTGTTTGTTTGCTGATACATAAAAGTGATCAAGCTACGATTAAAAACATCATGTCAGATTATCTTCTGCTGTCCATATCCCATTGGGGAGATTTCATTTCACTCCTTGTCCTTATGAGAAGAGAGAGAAACATTCATCAAACTAAAAATCCACCTCCTAAAAGAAACCTGACAGTGTGTATGTATAGCCAAACCTTGTTTTCTTGTTTTGGATAGAGTAGGTTAGAACCCTGAATGGTTTTTACTATTGTTCAGGACTCCTTCTTACCCTTCCTACTTCCTGTTCTGCTGGTAACCTTTAAAAATACACAAAGAGAAGGGAACTCTCCAATAGCAACACAGACAAAGTAAAATGATTGTCTTCAGTAGAGTAGGGGGAGGCTAAAACCACTGTCAGATTTGTTATGTCTGTTTGTGTCCCTGTTGGTGATTTGTCTTTACTTCCTGTCTGGTGAAACTGTTGGCAGGAGGACAGGAAGTGAGTATACATCTCTGTGACAGAACCCCAGAGAACAGAAGTTCTAACCTTTCCTCACACAAACGAGAACCAAAAAAAGTTTGATATACACTTTAATGCAACAACCATTTGTTCTTTCTCTCTAGATTAGTTATGGAGCTAGAGATACTTTACTAAGTGACAGAAATATGTTTCCAAACCTTTTCCGGACAGTTCCAGATAATGAGATGCAATATGTGGCCATAGTGAAGTTACTGAAAAGGTTGAAGTGGAACTGGGTTGGGATCATTACATCTGATGATGAATATGGAGAGAGGGAGATCCAGCAACTCAGCAAACAGTTAACTAATCATGGAATTTGTATTGAATTTAAGATCATGTTATCTGTGAAGAATTATAGGAAAATACCTCTAGATCTTCTGACATCAACTACTGAAGTTCTTATTATTTGTGGCTCAATAAGCAGAACTTATTATTCATTTTTGTTGCTTAGCATTCCTTATCACAGGTATAAAACATTTATTATTCCTGATTCTTGGTCAATGGATGAAGATTTTTTTTTTATCAGTAACTGCAGCTTGGTGTTTTCAAGTCCTGATTCCTCTATAGTGAGAATGGAGGAATATTTTGATAGTATTACCCCCTCAAGCCGTCCAGATGACCCAATACAGGAGGATAGTCTCATAACTGAATACCGCTGCTTTTCAAAAAATCCATTGAAGAACTTTATGATCCCATTCACATTTTACTATTCTGTTCGTAACTGCACTTTGGAGAGTATTAAATATAATTTAAATTATCCAGATGATAAAACTCCTTATAGAGTGTTTCTTGCAGTGAACTTATTGGCTCAAGCTTTGCATGACATATATCTCTCTTCACAAATAAACGAAAGGGAAACTGAGATGAGGTTACCTAGCCTTGTGCATAAGGTAAGTGAATTCAACTTTATATACACTATGCCTTTGCCCATTCAAAGCAAATTGTCTGTGCACAGGGGCCTCCTAACGCTCACAAACTTACCTTGGCATCTATCCATTGCATGTGGCCCCTTTCCTTTTATTAAAACTCTAAAACATAAAAGACCGTTATGTACAGCTTCACCTTCTTAATATAAAATATATAGTAAATATCACTGCTTCTACCTCAAACCCATGAGGCTTTTATCCTTTACCACTCAACAAATAAAACACTATTGCTAAAACTACACACTCTAATATATAAACCCTCCCTTCATTTGCCATTACACATATGTGTGAGGGTTTGATAGCCATTCCTGTGAGTTTCAATACCATGTTATGTCTGCTGAACTATGAAGGGATTTTAATTAATTGTGTTTTAGGTTTACAACTCAGCAACTTAATTGCTAGATTGATGATGATTGCTATGGTTCACATCACAGTGATGGTGCCGCTGTATCAGTATCATTATGACTTGGTTTCTATGAATCACAACACACTTTTGTGATTTCAAAAGACTGATGAAGGTTAACCAATATTTCAACCCAGTTTGATAGAAAGTTGTTGGTCAAACAGTAACTACATCCAATCAGGTGCAGTCACTGCCTGCCGCCACTACTGTATTTAGGAGGTCTTAGGTGCCATGGCTGCCTGAATACAAAAGCTGGTATTAAATAGAACATTTAGCTGTCTATGGGTACCCTTAACCTGAAGATACTTTTTTGTTGAAGAAGTCATTATATTTGTAAACATATAAGAAAGAAGTCCTCACTTAAAACATTATAGAATATATTTTTATTAGGGTTGCACAGATACTTTTCGAGTACCAGTGCAGATACTTGGCATTTTCATGAGAACTACCAGAGTTGGAGCGGTTGCAGCTGGGACCTGGCTCTGGCACTCCACCACTGTTCTGAAATCATTAGACTGTATTGTTTTAGAAAAACTGTCACTTGGCAATAAACAAAAATGTATCAGTACTCGTACTTGTAAGTACTCGGCAAGTACCAGTACTCGTGCTCGCAAAACTGGTATCTGTGCATCCCTGTATTTATATTTATAAAAACAAAATCATACATTAGAACAGAGATGTATAAATCCCAGGAGCTCCGTGTGCTCCTTACAAATGACAGCTGCCTCCTAACTTTTGCATTTTTCTCTAGTTTAGTCTTGGAGCTCAAAAGTATCGGTACACGTACTTGTACCGAGTACTGTACTTGGTATCTGTGCAACCCTAATTTTTATTAATTTTATTCCATATTTACACATCCCAAAAACAAACTTATTGATCCCAACCCCAAAAAATGTTACCAATATATTAACAGTAAAAAGGTGAGAAAGGAGCAGATAGGCCCAATAAAGGATGAAAGCGGGAAGCTAGTCACAAATGACAAGGAGAGGGCCGAGGCGCTGAACGCTTTTTTCTCCTCAGTATACACTCGGGAGGGAAACGGGTTTGACACACATGATAAAACTCCCAGTTTAACTCAAAATATACCCCAGTGGTTGACAGAAACCGGGATACAACAAAGACTTAAAATGCTCAATGCAAACAAAGCAGTGGGTCCAGATAACCTGCACCCCAAGGTACTTAAGGAATTAAGCCAGGTTATAACTAGACCATTAATCCTAATTTTTAAGGACTCCTTAATGACTGGTAGGATCCCCAGTGATTGGCGGAGGGCTACGGTAGTCCCAATATTCAAAAAGGGGGCTAGGTGCCAACCTGGGAACTATAGGCC